GCTGCCGCCGCTGCTGCCGCCGCCGCCGCCGCGCCCTGGAGGAGGCGGCCCCCGCCCGGGCCGTACAGGCGCCGCAGCTTGGGGGGCAAGTGCAGCTCGGCCTCAAACGGGGTGCTGCTGCCCTTGGGGGAGCCTGCGGGCAAGGAAGGGCGGTCAGAGAGCCGGCACTCCGCCACTGTCCCCTCCAGCGCCTGCCACCCAACTGCCAGCCCTCCAGGCTCCTTCCCCACTTTCGCAGCTGCCTTTTACTTTCTCCCTCTTCACTTTTCTCTTTTCGCTCCTTCCCCCCGCACCCTCCTTTTCTCCCCTCTCTCTCTGCCTTATCCTTCTTGCCTCACCTTCTTGTGCCGTCCACATTTTTTTCTCTTTTCGCTCCCCATTTCCCGTCATCTCTTCATCCATTCCCCTTTCTCTGCCTTCTCACTGTGCAGGCACACCTTCCACCTTTTTTTCTCGCGCCCTCTCTTCCATTTTGTTTTTCTCCCCCCCCCCTCTATTTTCGGGCTACGGAAGAATCAGAAAATAGGCAACAACTTGGAAAAAAAAATATTCATGGCAACCCTGAAAACTTTGCGCAGGAGAGCAGCCCCTGGTCTGCTGAGGGGTGCGTGGTTGGCTTGGGGTACGAGCGGCCCCAACCAGACCCCAGCATAAAAAGGCAAAGAAAGACCGTCCCGGTGAAAAAGTGCTTGGAAGGGCCAGGGAGGGGGCGGGGGACCTCTATAGGCACCAGCCGCTCCTTCCCTTTGACTAGACGCCTGGGACAGGGGCCACTTAAGACTTTAGAAAGGAGAGAGAGAAAGAAAAGAGGGGAAAGTCCGATTTCTTTTCAATGGCTCCTTCTGGTCGGCGGTCCCTTCCTCTCTTGCAAAGGGCACTGCGGCTGGACGGCCGGTTTTCAGGTTTTACAAGGAGCGAACAATTGAATTGCTGCCCTGAAGCATCTCTGCAGCCAGCTCGAGGCGGAACTTGAGTGTAACAGGTTCCGTAGGAAAATGTGACACATATAGGAGGAGCTGGAATTTCGAATTTTCAGGGGACCAAAAGAGGGGAGAAGCTAACACAAAAACACAACATCCCACCTTTCCAATAACATCTCAACTCTATTTTTAAAAATAATCACGCAGAGAAGCAAAAATAGCCACCCGGGAGCCATAGGTACATTTTTTTTTTATATACAATCGGAGGCATCTAGGGATACTTTTTACCACCCCCCCCAAGGCTGAGATTTCAAAGGTCACCAAGTAAATGGCAATTGTTTAAAAAAGTCAAAACTCAAAACAAACTAACAAAAACCCAAACCCAATACCGCTTATAAAGAAATCCTCCAAAGGGACAAGGCTGGAGCTCAGTCAGGGAGGAGGTCCCCATTTACTGAGCTTTGGGGTTTCTGGTCTTTACAAGTTGTGGCTACAAGGAGTCACCCTGGCACCTACTACTTCTGACTCGTAGCCCCTCTTCAGAGTACACGCAAGGCCACTCAAGGGGAGCATTTAGAAAATCTAGGGCCAGAAGCGAGAAGCCAAGGGGCTCAGAAGAAAGCGAAGCCAGGCTGTTAGGAGGGAAGAAGGGAGATCTGGCCCCTGGAGAAGAGTTCACCAGGCCTCAGGGTAGTCCCCTCTCCTTCCTCCAACTCCAGGTGAACAACCTGAGGCCCGGAGTTGCCAGCCGTCAGCCAGCCGGGACAGCGCCTTGGCAGGTGCCTGGCGGATGCAGTCTTACCTTGCACGGCCTTCTCCGGGTCTGCGCGGCTGGCCAGTGGGGCGGGCAGGCTCTGCGCGGTCCCCAGCAACCGCATCTTGCACGGGCTCCTCCGGCCCAGGATGCTGTCGATGCAGTAGGAGGAGAGCAAAGTTGGCGATTTACTTTTGCACTCGGGTCTCTCGGAGCAGCCCTCGTCCTGGTATTGATTGCTCATGGCTGGGGCTTTTACGCTGGGTGCACAGAGCGGGCCGCTGGCTGCCTCTCCCGGCGAGGAGAGGATGACTGGGTATGTGTTGGGGGTGATGGGGGGGGACGGCTGGTGCTAACAGGTAGGACTGCGATCTTTGTGCTCTGCCTCTCTTGGTTGCCGGCTGCGGCTACCGCCTCCCGCCCTGCCCGCGGCCGGAGCTCGCCCTCTCCGCGCTCAGGACAAGCGGTAACAAGTGTAGTGAGCTGCGGGCTCGAGCGCTGGAGTCTCTCTCCTCCACGTGCTGAGAGGCGCCCTCTGATTGGCCCTCACCAGAGGCTGGGCTGTATCGGGCTGGGGGCGCGGCGCAAAGCCCGGACCGGATTTTTGGAGAAGGCGCGGGCAGGGGCAGCCCGCACGCATCAGCTATAATGTTCTTTATGTGTGTATGTGTGTGTTTAACAACTTTCGAAGTTCTTCAGCGCCTTCCTGTTGCTCCTCCTTTCCGGTGGGCCTTGAGCTCATTGGGAGGCTAGGTCTGTGGATGCTACTTGGGCAACGCGTGCCTCCTTCACACACCCCAAGGGCCTCGCTCCCCCCGGAAGAGGCCTGAAGGCTCGCTATCAGACTGAGGTGGCACTTTGCAAAGTCGAGGTCTCATCCGTAGGGCAGCACCTGGACCTCAGTACCGCTTGATCTCTGCCCTCTTGAGGTCACATGGTCCTCTGAGGTACAGAAAGATGGGGTGGAAAACAGTGCAAACAACTCATGGCGTTTAGATTTGCAATTATGTCTTGTGACCCAAAGCCTTGCGTTGTCTACATCCTGAGGCTGGCTGCTGCTAGCCTGTTAGTGGAATTTTCCCAAGGCCTCATTAAAGATAAAGCTCTCCCCTACGCAGAGGGCTTCTATAGAGCCCCTATGAAGCCAAAAAAAAAAAAAAAACAAAAACCAGTGAGGGTCAGCTGCCCAGGGCATCTGGGCAAAGTCTGGAGACTTATTTTTCTCCCCGATTCATCTCCCTTTTAACTCCACAAGTTGCTCTCTGTTAGTTAAGAGATCTCTCCAACACTGGATGCCCACCAACCATGTCTGGGAACCGAACCTGCGAGTGGCTTTGGGTGCTCCCGAGTGAGAAAAACCCAAGCCGGACTGCAGCCAAATATAAGTTCCCCCCAAATCTCCTAGATTCTTGGGACCAGGTCCCACCAGCAAAGGTGGGAAAGGTTAGCCCGAGGGCGATCGTGTTTCTTCCCCAGGCTGCTCCCTGCCCGGCCAGGCCAGCTTGTGACCGGAGATTAGGCCTCAAGTGTGGCGAGCCTGTGCGAGAGGGAGGACAGCGGACAGCGGCAACGAAGCCTTCTCTGGGGATGCGAGGCCTGAGGGCAAGTCGGGGGCTGAGTGAGGGCGGATGGGGGCGCCCAAGGTGGGTGGGAGAGGGCCGGGGCGGGGAAATCCACGCCGGGTTTTCCTCTCTCAACCCCTTCGATGTGTCAAAGAGAAAAGCGTTTTACAAAGGATTATACTTGAATCACTTACAGTCAGTATTAAAAAATACAAGGATGCATAACTGGGATTTTTTTTAACAGCCATAAACATCTGCATAAGTCTTGGATGCTGGTGGGTGGCAGACAGATCGGGCTGGCTTGGCAGGAGCATTCAAGATACAACTTGAGGGGGATGAAGGGTTGGGAACAGGAACATTAATAATGCTAATCCTAATGCGGATCCTACTACTACTATTAGAGGCAGAAGCAAAAAGATCTCTCTCTGGCTTTTGGTGTTTCACTTTCCCCCTACTCTTGGTTGATGGGGTGACGAGGAGCGGAGGCGGAGAAGCTCAGTTAGTACTGGCACTGGATTTTCTTTTAAGACCTTTCTTGCGGTTCCCAGGCACCTGGGACCGTCTTCTGCCTCTCCGCACACCCTTCCTTCTCCATCCTTGCCAACAGTTGAGCGTTTTTTACTGTCCAGTTCAGCTTTCAGCCAGCAAGCGGTGTCCTGATTCCCTCCTTTGCGTCTCTTCTCGGAGAGGCGAGGCGGAGAGGAGCCACAGGGTCCTGAGCGCCCCTCGCCGCGGACCCTCGCGGGCGTCTCGGAGGCTGGCAGCTGGACGACACCGAGGCATTCTTCCCTCCCAGGCCGGCCTCGCGTCGGAAATCCACAAGACCCGGCGGCTGGTGGTTGGGGGACTTCAGAGTGGGCTCCGCACACGCAGGGAGTGGGCTGCGACCCAGGCCAAAGCAGATCATGTTCAAACGCCCACATCATTGCCTACAGCCCAATGTGGTCGCAACTCTCGTGGCTGAAGACTTCTTGCCTCCATCTGTCCCCCTCCTCCCCTCTTCTGCAGCTGTTCTTTTTAAAAGGAGTCAGACTTTTTGCTGGGGATGTAAGCTAATTTTAAGCATCCACTCTAAAAGGTGGGGGTGGTTGGCATGGAATAAAAAAAAATTCTGATGGAATGACCTCTGGAATGAAATAGAATTCTTTTCATGGCACAGGACATGTTTCTCTGGGGGACCTATGTGAAGACCCTAGCTTTATTTGTTTTGTTCTTTTCTTTTTGGTAACTGATCAAGGTTCCCAAGTGAAGATGCTTCTGGGACCGTAGGGCCATCACTTTGGGGGAGAAGGGCCGCCCACCTCTGTGATAATCTTGGTCCCATTCAACACCCCCACTTCAAAATCGACTGCCAGACTCTCGTTCTTCCTAAGAGATTATGAATACCAAACAAAACCAGACGCACCAAACCCAGAAACTCCTAACATTTCTAAGCGGAAGAGAATTTGCTGGTGCCTCCAGGGTCTAATGAAAAAAAAATTATTTTAAGGCACATGTCTGTGAACCCACATGCTCTTTTTAAAAAGACAGTGTTTCCCTCAAATCTCGTAGAATGAAACTGACGTGAAGAGCAGGCAGACTTTGAAAAATCAGGCTCTGGGACTATGTAGGAAGAGAACTTCTACTTGAGCACAATCTGGTATTTACTCCGTCAGCAAAATGCCACTTTCTGATCATCTTTTTCCCTTTTATTCATTAATGCAACTGATTTCATTTTAGTGCTGATATTACTCATGTTGACACACGGTTATTCACTCTGCCTTGTTCCTCTAACTAATATTTGGAACCTTCTATTGTTAGTTTCCTTTTTCTGAACTGTCTGGAGGACAATGGCTTGAGGGTCATCAGCTTGTAAAGTCAGTCACTAAAATAAGAATAACAATGAAGGTCAGAAGTCGGGGTCAGAAAGGTTTAAAACTCCTGCTTATGATGGGGGGGGGAATGAGACTTGTACCCAGGATTGGAAATAATAATTACATAGAAAAGTCAGATAGCACAAACTCCTTTCTTTTCTGTGGTGAGAACTAATTCTGCATTGTAGGTTTCAAAATGGTATTTTCAAGAAACGCGAGATGGGGGGGCAGTTAGATGTCATTATCTTTGGGGGGGACGTGTCTGGAGAAGAATTAACCTCACACTCTTTTTCATTTCAGATGCTTTAATTTATTGTGCAATATACACAGAGATAAATAAAACTATAATAGACTTCCAGCCACACCGAACTGCTCAGGTCCCCTTAAATTATGCTCAACTTCTTCAAAACATATATTTAAACAATAGAAATAAACTTCATCGGAGTCTGGTGACCAATTTGGGAGTCATTGGAGAGGAAGACAATAGGTCCTGATTACACTCGAGGATTCTCTGTGATGCGAGGTCCCCTTTGCCAAGTCATTTTGCTGTCTTATTTATGTCATTTCTCTCTTTCTCTCTTTCCTTTTTTTTTTTAACAAACTTTCATTCATTTATGGTCTTCCGCAACCTGCTAATTTAACACTGGAGCGCGTTATTGCAGTGTTAGGAGGAGAGAAAGAGGGAGAGAAAACAACAATACTGCAATGATCCAAATGATACAGTAGAATTATAGCAATTATAGTTCTACTTGTGGAAGAAAACCTTGCTGAGATCAGGCAAACAAACTGAAGCCTTGTGAGGATAACAAGCCTCGCGATTGACAGCCGGTGCTGGGAAGAGCGGGGAGGGTACAAACAGAAATATTTGCCTTCCCCCCCACCCCCTTAACTCCAACCAGTCAAGGTTAACCTCCTCAAGAGCTGCTTTCTGAGTCGGATCCACTTCAGAGGCGGCGTTGCCTACAGTCCGATACTGGATTACTCAGTAAGCACAGGTTTACTTGTGCTTACTGATCAATAATATGGTGAACAATGGCTCTTGCCCACCCACCCCCGCACCCCAAGATTTTTCTGCTGAGTCTGGCCGGCATCTGGCTCCCTCTGAAGCCCTCTGCATCTTCCTCCTGAACCAAAGCCTCTTTTCGAATGCCCGGTCCCTGGCAGGGCCAGAGGACTCAGTAGCAGAGGTAAGCACGAGCTTATTTGTGCTTGTATGCTAATGGGTCGTGAACAGTTTCATGTGCCCATGTGAAACTGTTCGCGACAGATTAGTCAGTAAGCCCGTGCTTACCTTGTTTAGTGGGTAATCCGCCCTGGCCCGGATCCAGGTCTACCCTTCTGGAAGCCTGATAACGGGAGGAAATGGGACTAATCCATACCCCTGGTCTTCCGGGGCCCCTAGCTTGCCCACCAAGGCCTCCCCCTGCCTCAGTAACCCCCACTGCCGCCTGGCACCTGTCTGTGGATGGGATTGGTTCGTTGATGCGTTTTGAGGAGCAGCCGGTGGGAAGGTGCAAAGGGACCAAGAACTTGCATTCGACCTCTTCGCGCCGGCTCCTGCGCCCGAAGTGGGGGAGGGAGGGTATTCCCCGAGCCCGGGGGCGAGGAGGTCCCTGGTCCGGGCTCGCTGGGCAGTTTCTGGCCGGAAAGTTGTGTGTCCTGGAAGGCGAGCAAGCCCTCCAGGTACGTGCCTGTGGCTTCGGTTGCTGGCCCGGCTCAGCTGTCTTCGTTTGTAGACTTTGCTCCTCTTTCTGTCGCCCCTCAGCAGCCCCTGGAGGAGCGGGGGCAACCAGCTTTGGAGCGCTGACAGGCCCTCTCCCCAGCACCCA